GTTTTATTTTTGTTGTTGTTTTTGTTTCTTGAAACAGGGCCTCCCTGTAGCCCCAGCTGTCCTGGAATGCACTATGTAGACCAAGCCACCCTTGATCTCATGGAGATCTGCCTGCTTCTGCCTCCCAAGGCTGGGATTAAAGGCATTTCCCACCATTCCTGGCATATGCATTTTAATGCTTGTTGATTCACAAATAGACAAGAATGACTCTTTAGTTTTGATAGTGGAATGTAAATTTAGAAGGTTTTTAAAGAGCTTGGGACACCCTTTATCTGTTCAGCTGCAAAAGCCATGTCTTCCTCTATTACCAATGGAAAACTCTTACCTATGGGGAATGGAGCCAGAGAAACTCTATGAATAAGACCCACACGAGCAAAGAAAGTGTGTGTCCTACTCATCCTTTTGTTTCATTTTAACTTATTAAAGAAATTAATTGCTCAGTCTCATTTTACAGTGTCAACAATGAGTTTTCTTCAATATTTCTCTCTTGTGTTGATTCACTTTTCCAGTCCTGAATAGTTTTTGTCATTTCATTCAGTCATATATCCCATCTTTGAGCTCCAGTCACATGAATATTCCCAGCCTCTTTGTGTTCTTTGAGTTATTTGTTTGTTCTTTAAAGTCATTGAAATCTTTGATCGTGTTTATAATTGTTCTTTTAAAGTCTGTGTCCTCGGTTTCCTCTGGGTAGTTCTCATTGTGGGACAGTTCTGTAGGAGTGATGGGTTTTGCTGGGAACATATTATCTTGTTTTCGTATTAGTGTTGGTTTGGAGTTGCGGACTGGGCAGATGGAGCTCTTTTATTGTTTGTGTGTCTGCTATAAAATTTTAGCTGGCCTTTGTTAAGTTCTGTTCTATTTTTATCAATACTCTAGCTTTGTTGCTTTCTGATCAGATATGAAGTTGGTTGGTGTGTGCTTCAGATCCTCTGGTTTGATTTTTTATTGGTGGGGCAGGGTGATGAAAAGCTGACTAGTGAAGAACTTTCCAGCAGTGACAAGTTGCCTAGTCTCAGTTCCAGACCATGGGGATATAGGGTTCTGGCAGGCTGATCCAGAGGTCTCAGGTGGGAAATTCAGGAGGTGGCCTAGGTCCAAGATAATGGTAGGGACAGTAAAAGGAGAGTCTTAACTAGCTAAGCAGTGTAGATGTGAGTCCTGGAGCAGGAGACTGCAGGTGATCCAGGTGCAGGGGAATCAAGAGTCAGTGGGCTAGTCCAGAGACCTCAGGTGGTAATGGGACAGCGTGGGGAGGGTCTAACTAACTAAGCAGAGTCCTAATTAACTTTTATTGAGCTGGGCATGTTTTCCCCACATTCATCCAGTAAGTGGAGGTACACCACTTATGTTCAATTATCTCCTAATTAGATTTGAAGTTTGTTGTATAGTCAATACACCCATTTTCTGAGGTTAGTTTAAAAATTAAGTTCCAATTATCTGTCATAAAACAAAAAGAAAAATCAGCTGAGCAAACAAACATCATGTTTAGTCTCATGCCATTCATATTTCAGGCAGTTTACATGTGAAAAAGCCTTGAAAAACAAAGGTGATTTACATCTTTTACTTAAAAGTCAGTTTTAAAACTGGATGCTGAGAGGAAGCTGAGAATAGGAGTCTCTGAAGGTCAGGATGCAGCCAGCTCTGGTGTGTGCATACCTGCTCCTCCAGTGTTTGGTGTCAAAGGGCTGAGGCGGGGGCTCGACCCTTCAAAGCCAGTCCGACTGTATGATGAGACCGCCACAAAACGAATCACTTTATATTTTATTTATTATTCTCATTCCATGTTTTGGAAAGTATTGCCTGCATGTATGTGGGCACGCCCATCTCATGCAATGAAATGGAGGTCAGAAGAGGGTGTTGGATTCACTTGGAACTGGAGTTAAGGATGGATCCTAGCTGCCATGTGGGTGCTGGGAATCAAACCTGGGTCCTCGGCAAGAGCAATCAATGCTCTTAACCACTGAGCCATCTCTTCAGCCCAATAAATCGATTTAAAAATTATTAAAAATCTTTTTGAGATGTTCTATATGAAATGCACAAAAATTAAAATATCTTTGAACTTAGTAATGAAAATTACATAAAATGAAGAACCATCTCAATAGATAAATTTGAAAAAACAAGCTCCTGATTCACAATACAGGCTTGATTTGTTTCATCCTTTATTGGCAACTCAAATCAATGACTCATTTTAGCTGACCATGTTTTCTTCTAAACCATGCAGATGCATTGAGTGTATCTTTTTGAATTTTCAAATATCTCTATAAGTTATCAGGAACAATAGGCTAAATTTAGAAATGTTTTTAAGTCATTATTTCAACAATTAAACAAACCAAAAATGTCAGGGGCTGGAGTGATGCTCAGCAGTAAGAGCACTGGCTGCTCCTAGAGAGGACCTGGATTCAGTTCCAAGCAACCACAACCATCCATACCTCCAGTTCTGGGGGTTTTGATGCCCTCTTCTGACCTCCATGGGCACTTCACAACACAAGTGCACTTACCTACATGTAGGCAAAATATTCATACTCAAAAAATAAAAAACTATGTTTTAAAAATTCCATGTTTTAGGGTTGTATGAGTCCAATAAACAAAAGCTTTAATGCCCTTGGATCATTAACATTCTAGATAGGTTAAAGAGAAGAAAAGGAAGGCAATTAACACATGCAAGAGATGTATACATATTATATAAGTTAGAGACTGGCAGGTAATACAGAAAGATTGAAAGAAAGAGGATTGGAAATTGAATCCCAATTAATGCATAGGAAGTATCTCAGGATAAATTAATTCTGACTTAATTTTAATGCCATGCAATGTTATTAATAAATGTTAAAGAAAGATTGCATCAAGAATTTATCTTTAGGCTCTAGTTTCCATTTTAGTTAGTGCCGAATGTAGTCTTCAGGGGTTATGTGGTTATATCACACTATCAGTCTTAAATACCTTTCCCAGGTCCAGTGAAGATCAGGATATATCATGCAAGATTGGTCCTTTAGAGACACAGGCAGACTCTGAGTTAGGGTCTAGGCAGCGAGACCACTATGTTTCTCTACTATGCTTGGTGAAGCTTGGGTGGGTGGATATGGGGTTGTTGTTATGAAATAGGAAGAAAAATACCAGCAAATTACTCTGTTTAAAAACCAACTGAAGTAGGATTATAGTTTTATTATCTTATATTTTAATAATCCCATGGCAGAAGCAACTCTAATTAGCTAAAGAAAATAAATAAAAATTTTAAAAAATTGACTACTAATGTTTTTATCAAGGGTGATTTTTTTTGTCTCATATTAAACTATACTCAGTGTTAAAAAAGTATAATCATGGTGAAGTGCATGATCATCCATCTTCTAAAGTGCTTCAAGGACTTCTAAAACACAGCCGCAATAGAATTTACATGCTACTTTCAACTGTCTGTGTTAAAAGTGCTATGCTTTTCTGCAAAATACTTTATTCAAAATGCACTTGTTCATTTTTTTTCATTTTTCATCTCTTTGAGACATAGTCTCTCTGTAGCCCAGTGGCCTAGAACTCATGGTGCAGACCAGGCTGGCCTCAGTCTAACAGAGATCCAACTGCCTCTGCCTCCCAAGTTCAGAGATTAAAGGCCTCCATCACCACACCCGGCTTATTTGATTTATTTTTAACTGAATTTCTGCAAATTTAAAATTATATATATTTATACTCCTTCCCTACTGAAGCCCTCTTGTACCCACTCACATACTGATATATATATATATATA